GATTTCCTATGGTATATCTGAACTCCACTTTGGGAAAGGAATCAGTCTGGCACAGCACTTCAGAAAGGCTACTGAACCCTGATCTACCAGGAATACTATTTCATTTATTCTTGGAAGCTTTAGCTGCTCCAAAACACTGGAATCGGGATGGTGGAAAGGGTTTGGGAGTTTTGATGTGGGATTTTTTTTTACCTGCTACTTTCCACTCAGTTATTTGCTGAGGGCAAGTATTTAAACCATGGAATAAGCATGTTTCAGGCTCTCAGTTGGTACCAGTAGATTTTGCTCCTGGTTGTAAAATGTTTTTTATATGAGACTAAACTTATAGATATAGAATCTCAGACTCACAGAAGGGCCTAGGTTGGAAGGAACCTTAAGGATCATCTTGTTCCACCCCCCTGCCATGGGCAGGGACACCTTCCACTAGCCCAGGTTGCTCCAAGCCCCGTCCAGCCTGGCCTTGGACACTTCCTATGCTTCAATCTTGCATTAATATACAGCTTGTGCATCACAATGCTGAAAATCCCAGAAAACCCCAAATCCATGGCACTACAAGTGACTCAAGGAAGTACTCAACTGGTCATCAGGATCACTGGGAGTTTCTCAGCCACTGAAGCTGGGACAAGCCCTGACTCAAGGAGATGTAGCTGAGGTGTTGAGCAGAGACCTTTGGCTCAATACAGAGGCCTTAAGCAGTCAATCAGTTTTCTACCATCACAGTCTGGACTGGCCTTTAATACTTTCTTAGATCTTTTTATCTGTTATTTCTCTGTTTCTGTTATGTCCCAGTGCCCTTCACATCGGACACTATTTCTTCCTTTACATCCTGGGCCCTCAAAAAGCAAACAGAGTTGGGCTCTAGCTGACCAATTGCTCCAAGCTCCAGCTTCCCCCATGGTGTACTACTAAACTACACCCCAGCCACTGTTCTGAAATGATCTGCAAAGGTTACCACAATAACAGCAGGATGCCATCTTATTTATTTTTCTCTTGGCTTTTAAAGTTCCCTATCTGAAAGTACATCAAGTCTCTGTGGAGCTCTAACATCAATGCCATATTCTATGAAGCAAGGAAAATATAATATTTTTACAGTCGGTCTTTAAATCATTTTCTGACAACAAATCAATCTTACAAGAAGCCTTGTTGGTGTTATGAGTAAGAGAAGGAGAGATTTTGAGATTAAAGTAGAATAATAGTTTGCTGTCTCCACAAATTTATCCTTTCGTGTATCAAACCATTGCATTCCGCTGCTGAGTTCTAATTAAGCCCCACCAATCAGATTTATGATAGTGCTAATAGGAAAAAGGATCGTATAACGCTGTTAATATGTGCTCTATAATTAACATTAATGGCAGTCGTGTGGTTAAATGCCCCTCGCATCACCCTGAGAACAGACCTGTAGGTGCAGGGTTTACAACCAAGGGAAGCACCACAGATACTGAGGAACTGCCCCTCTTGGCAGTCAGCAAAAAGTTAGAGATGCTGCAGGAATTGTTCTGCCCCACAACGGTGACCTCGTGACAGGAGATGAGTGTCCTGCAACCCTGCAGCCCCCCACGTGGTCCTGTGACGTTGGCACTGGGGCTTTTATGAGCTCGATGGTGGCAGCTGAGCAGGGAAGGTGCTGGGAGCTCCCTGGGAGGGCTGGGCTCCCCTTCCATCATCTGTAATCCCTGGTGCTTCCCAGAGTATCCGGTGGTGCCAGCTCCTGTGGAACCAGCGCTGTGCAGAGCCAAACCTTCAGGAACGAGATCCAAAGCTCCTGGAGCCCTTTGAGGCTGAAATACAGCTTTGACATTTGGACACTTGTGTCCACTAAAAATCCTAAGATTACTTTTTTTCTCTCTAGGAGCAGCTCTAGTGGCTAAACCCAAACGGGTACGTGACATTCTGTGCTCCTTAAATCATCATTATTGTTTCAAGAGGAGGTATTGCTCTGTCTCGAGGCCCATGGATAACATTCTCCTTGATTAGAAAAGTAGTGTTATGCCCCCTCTCTCCAGGGGTGCAATTTATTGCCCAAGTGAAAGGCAATGAAAATCATTAAACCTTAAATCTCAGCCCTGACACAGAACACTCGACTCCCTCAACCTTTTCCTCTCTGACCCAAACTGCCCTAAAACCAACCATCAGTTCCAGCCCTCTATGCAACCATTGTGTGTGTTTGCTGTGTGATGTTTGTTTTATTTTTGCAGGTGTAAATTTGAGGGCAAATCTGGGGAAGTTACAAAAAGTAGAGACACAAACAGGAACTGTGAAGTGATATATGCTCAGTGGTGAGAACTCCGAGTAAAACAGGATATTAACTGTAAGAAATGTGAAGTCCTAATTTCTCCCCAGTTCCCCAAATAGAAGGAGAGTGGAAATAAATGCTTCAAAGTAGGATATTCTTGGTGAATTAGAGTGAGTGTTTTCATTTTATCTTCCTAATAATGATTTAAGATGACTTTTGCATGAATTTAAGCACTATAAAGAAATGAAAGCCTGGGAGGAAGATGGTTCTGAGGAAGATTTCCATGATAAAATATGGAGAATGAATTTCAAAAGCATTTAAATGACTTATAGCCTACATCTCCTGAACTTAAACTCTTAAGAGAAAACATTTTAAGGATGCCTGGGGGTGCAATTATGCTTTACAGCTGGAGCAGACCTAACCATTCCCTTCCCTTTTTGTTCAGACTCCCGTCCAAGGCCCTTCCTCTGTGCCCTACTCCAGCTTTCAACCTGTCAGCCCCTGTGCAGGGCGAGTACAAACAGTTTAACCAGCGAAATTAGCAATTTGTCCTCTGCAGATCAGCAATTTGAGTCAGTTTAGCACAGGATCCAGAACCCCCAGAACGTGTCTGAGGGCAGGATGAGGTGACAGCTGGGTCAGTTCTTCAGCATGACCCCCCTGCAATGTGTATTTTCAACCAAGGAGTACAGAAATCAAACTTTTGTCTTCCAAAATTACTTTACTAACCAAGTACAGATTTTATTTTATTTTTATTTTTTTTTTTTACCAAGTCTTTGGCTCTTTAAAGCTCGGATCCTTTTGGGAATACGACTCTATAGAATAAATTTATTTTTTCTTAGCCCTCTCTTGGCTTTTTTCAAGCACCTCTCGATGCCCCCACGCACTTCTGGTCACCCTCTCGCTGTGTCACGGACACCACATCCATCTGTGTGGGGGACACCAAGTCCTGCCTGCGGCTGTTCCCTGGGGATGAGCCCAGGGATGCAGCAGAGGGAACTGTCTCAGTGCCTGGCAGAGGCCCTGAGGATGCTCCAAGCAGGGCTCCAGGCGTTTCCTCATTGCAAAGGTGTCCAAGGTCTCCTGTCTGGACCCAGTTCCCACCTGAATGCTGTCACCTGTCCCTGTATCCCAAATCCAACCCCCAGGGTCACTGATCGGTTCACTGAGTGGGAAGCTACTCTGACACTTGCTCTGCAGGACCAACCTCACCCACATCCCCCCCAAAGAACTGTTGTTCTTTGCCATAACAACTTGTTATAATAAAAGTCCTGAATTCAGTTTACTTTCGGAAACATTTTGTTTTACATTGTCTACGTTTTCACTGTTCGTTCCTCCATGGAAAAACTGTGCTGACCACACAGAATGTAGAATGGTCATTCACATTTTCATCTCAGTGTTGATGAGACATCTCACGTTTTGGACTTGGCACAACTGTTTTTGTTGCATATCCATAATTTTCTTCTTCATTATGTGCAGTGCTGTGTCCAGTTCTGGGCAAGAGAGACAAGGAGCTACTGGAGAGAGCCCAGCGGAGCCCATAAAGGTGATGGGGTGTCTGGAGCATTTTTGATGAGGAGAGACTGCAGGAGCTGGGCTTGGTTAATCTGGAGAAGACGGAGAGGGGATCCCATCAATCCATACAAATATCTCCAAGGGGTGTCAGAGGATGCTGTCAGACTTTCCAGTGGTGCTCAGTGACAGGAGCAATGGCCATAAATTAAAATGCAGGAAGCTCCACCTCAACACGAGGAAGAACTTCTCTCCATGGAGGTGGCAGAGCCCTGGAACAGCTGCCCGGGGAGGGTGTGGAGTCTCCTCTCTGGAGACATTCCAGCCCCACCTGGCTGTGTTCCTGTGTCACCTGCTCCAGGTGACCCTGCCTGGGCAGGGGATGGACTGGGGGATCCCCAGGGGCCCCTCCCCACCCAAACAATCCCGCGATTATTTAAAAACAAACAAACAAACAAAACCCCCAAAGCAAAACCAGGGCATTTATTTCGTGCCGGAAAAAGAGCCGGATGAGACGAAAAGAGCATGTCTTTGGCTACTTTGCCGTGCCACTTTCACGTGGAGTTTCAAATTCAGGTGTATAAAACTCTCTGTAGCCCAGGGGCACGGCCGGCCCTGACAGCAGGGACAACCCCGGGACAGCCGATCCTCAGGGCAGGGACAGCCCCGGGACAGCCGCCCCTCACGGTAAGGACAGCCCCGGGACAGCCGATCCTCAGGGCAGGGACAGCACCGGGACAGCCGACCCTCACAGTAAGGACAGCTCCGGGACAGCCGTCCCTCACGGAAAGGACAGCCCCGGGACAGCCGTCCCTCACGGTAAGGACAGCCCCGGGACAGCCGCCCCTCACGGTAAGGACAGCNGGACAGCTCCGGGACAGCCGCCCCTCACGGTAAGGACAGCCCCGGGACAGCCGCCCCTCACGGTAAGGACAGCTCCGGGACAGCCGCCCCTCACGATAGGGACACCTCCGGGACAGCGGTTTCTCACGGTAAGGACAGCTCCGGGACAGCCGTCCCTCACGGTAAGGACAGCCCCGGGACAGCCGCCCCTCACGGTAAGGACAGCCCCGGGACAGCCGCTCCTCACGGTAAGGACAGCCCCGGGACAGCGGTTCCTCACGGTAAGGACAGCCCCGGGACAGCCCCAGCCCAGCCCCGACACAGCCCCGGCCCAGCCCCGGGCCGGCCCCGCAATGGCCGCTCCGCCTCCTCCGCCGCCGACCCGGAAGTCGTCTGGAGGTCGCGCGGCAAGATGGCGGCGCCCAGGCGCTGAGGGGGAGGCGGCGGAGCAGCCGCGGCCATGAGCGCCGTCCGCCCGCCCCGGGCGCTCGCAGGTACCGCGGGGATGGCAGTGGGGGGCCGGTGGAGCGGGCAGGGCTGGGGACACCCTGGGGCTGCTCTGGAGAGCGGTACCCGGAGCCTGCATGTCCCTGTGTGTGCCGTACGTGGGGCATCCATGTGTGACCTTCTGTATGGGGATACGTGTGTGTCCTGTATGGAGCATCCGTGTGTGACCTTCTGTATGGGAATACCTGTGTATGTCCTGTACGGAGGATCTGTGTGTGTCCTCCTGTATGGGAATACCTGTGTGTGTCCTGTATGGAGATCCTGTGTGTGTCCTTCTGTATGGGGTTACCTGTGTGTGTCCTGTACGGAGGATCTGTGTGTGTCCTTCTGTATGGGGATGCCTGTGTGTATCCTGCATGGAGCATCCATGTGTGTCTTTCTGTATGGGAATACCTCTGTGTATCCCGTATGGGGCATCCGTGTGTGCCCTTCTGTATGGGGATACTTGTGTGTATCCTGTATGGAGATCCTGCTCGTGTCCTTCTGTATGGGGATACCTGCGTGTGTCCTGTATGGGGGACGTGTGTGTGTCCTTTTGTAATAGGGGTACCTGTGTATGTCGTTCTGTATGAGGATACTTGTCTGTGTCCTGTATGGAGATCCCTGTGTGAGCTCTTCTGTATGGGAATACCTGTGTGTATCCAGTATGGGGCATCCATGTGTGCCCTTCTGTATGGGAATACCTGTGAGTATCCTGTATGGAGATCCTGTGTGTGTCCTTCTGTATGGGGATACCTGCATGTGTCCTGTATGGGGGATGTGTGCGTGTGTGTCCTTTTGTAGTAGAGGTACCTGTGTATGTCGTTCTGTATGAGGATACTTGTCTGTGTCCTGTATGGAGATCCCTGTGTAAGCTCTTTTGTATGGGGATACCTGTGTGTGTCCTGTATGGGGGATCCATGTGTCCTTCTGTAGGGGGGATCCTTGTGTGTGTCTCTCTGTATATGGGATCCCTGTGTGTATCCCTTTGTATAGGGGATCCTTGTGTGCCCTTCTGTATGTAGGATCCTTGTGTATGTCCTGTATGGAGATCCCTGTGTGTGCTCTCCTGTATGGGGGTCCCTTGTGTGTATCCCTCTATATGGGGGATACTTGTATGTGTCCTGTATAGGGGTCCCGTGTGTGTATCCCTCTGTATGGGAGAATGAATGGGAGATCCCTCTGTCAGTCCTTCTGTATGGGGGATCTTTGTGTGTGTCCTGTACAGGGGGTCCCTGTGTGTGTCCTTGTGTATGGGGGATACCTGTGCACGTCCCTCTATGGGAGATCCCTGTGTGTGTCCTGTAAGGAGGTCCCTGTGGGTATCCCTGTGGGTATCCCTCTGTTTGAGGGATACCTCTGTGTATGTCCTGTATGGGGGTCCCTGTGTGTATCCCTCTATATGGGAGATCCCTGTGTGTGTCCTTCAATATAGGGATCCTTGTATGTGTCTTGTATAGGGGTCCCTTGTGTGTGTATCTCTCTTTATGGGGAATCTCTGTGTGTGTCCCTGTGCATGGGGGATCCTTGTGTGTGTCCTTCTTTATGGGGGATCTTTATGTGTGTCCCTCTATGGGGGATCCCTGTGTGGATCCCTGTGTATATGGGGGAATCCCTGTGTGTGGGATCCCTGTGTATATCCCTCTGTATGGGGGATCCCTATGTATGTCCCTACATATGGAGGATTCCTGAGTGCCACACTGGACTCTGTCCTCTACGTGCTGCCCCATGGCAACTGTTTCCTCTCAGTGCTGCTTTGCCAAGATAATTTTGTCAGTAGTATATAGAGATAGCAGTGGAATAGTGCTGCTATTCTACAGTCCTACAGCCCCAAGGCTGACAGAGCTCGAGGAGTGTTGGGACAATGCTCTCAGGGACATGATGGGATTCTTGGGGATGTCCTTTGCAGGGCCAGGAGTTGGCCTCTGTGATCCTTGTGGGTGCTTTCCAATTCCACGTATTCTGTGACTCTGTGAAAATGCATCTCAGGGAGCTTAGAGATTTGGAAGAAAACACAAAACATCATTAGGGCATGCCTACAGTTTGGTTTGGGGCCTGTCGTGAGAAGAAGGACATTGAGGGGCTGGAGTGGGTTCAGAGAAGGGAACAGAGCTGGGGAAGGGGCTGGAGCACCAGGAGTAGCTGAGGGAGCTGGAGGGGCTCAGCCTGGAGAAAAGGAGGCTCAGGGGGGACCTTCTGGCTCTCTCCAACTCCCTGACAGGAGGGGGGAGCCAGGTGGGGGTCAGGCTCTGCTCCCAGGTACAGGATGAGAGGAAACAGCCTCAAGTTGTTCCAGGAGAGATTTACACTGGATATTAGGGAGGATGACTTCACTGGAAGGGTGGTCAGGCACTGGCAACAGGCTGCCCAGGGCAGTGGTGGAATCACCATCCCTGGAAGAGTTCAAAAAACGTGTGGATGTGGTGCTTAGGGACATGGGCTCGTGATGGTTGGACTTATGATCTTAGGAGTCTTTTCCCTCCCTAATGATTCCATGATTCTGTGATTCTCCACTTTCAGGTCTTTACCCTGCAGCAGCAAAAGTTTCTCCCCTCCCGACCTACCCTGAGTCCCATTTGTTGGGGTGTCCTGTGTCACAGCTGGGAGCAGACACTGAATTAGGAGCAAACTCAGTGGCAGAGGGTAAACGTGACTCTAATGTTATCTTTTTTCCTTTTCTCCTGTAATAGGACTGTTGGTGTGGCGTCTGAAGGGCGCTGGCACACGGCACATCCCGTGCCCCTTCCTGCACCTCTGCCGGGCAGCCAACGACAGGTTGATTACATTTCAGTACTTTAACTTTCTCAAACGAATGGTAAGTCAGGGAGGGGATTTATCCCGTGTTTCTCATTCATCCCAGGGCAAAATGGAGATCAGTTGATAAAAGCAGTGTTTTTCTTACCAACCCAACTCGGGTAATTCCAAGCGTCTCGTTTTCTCACTGAATCAGGGTTAAAGGGCTTGGTATCTGAAATATTAAAATAACTGGACAGTTCCTTGTGCTACAGAGTCTCCTCTGCTTGACACGAATCTTCCTGTGCCTTTGCAGCAGGACACTCATCTCCTGCCGAAAAACATGAACTACAATTGTTTTTAAACTGTTATTTATAGAAATGCTAATAAGAAAGTCACATCTTGGCCAGCAGTCGTACAAGTGGTAGATGGAACTCACCTGTGGAGGAGGTGTGTTGTGAGTTAATCAGTTAATTTAAATCAAAACTCCTGAGCTCGTTAAGTTGATGGGTTTCATTTACAGTGTGCTGTTAGTTTTAGGTATTAAAAAAAGCTGTGATTATCATTCAACCCTTTGAAATTGCATCTTCTCCTTTGACCAGTTGCATCACATGTAAGTGGATGGTAGTAAAAGACTTATTTTGCTCTTCCCTGAGTTGTGTTCTTATTGTTGCACTTTGGAGCTTCATCTATGACATGTGGGTAAGACTAAGTCTTACAGTGACTGCTTTGCCTGTAAGGAGCTTGTACAGCTGTGAATCAATAAATGGGGATCTTTCCAGGCTTCTGGGGTTACCACCACTTCTCAAATATTTATTTGTGCTGCTGATTTGATCTGTATTCACATCACTCATTCAGACTTTCATATCTCTCTTACTCATTATAATTATTAATGTGCACTCTAAACCAGGATTAGTTGAAAGCTCTGTCTTTTTATGCCTCTTGTGCTTGAAATATAGAGAATATTTTGGGGAAGAAAATGGAAAGGAGAAGCTAAATGGTATTTTTCTTATTCTGTGTGTATTCTGAGACCTTTAAATGAGAGGAAACAACTGTCTCCTAACTTTATGTTCAAAGTATGTTCATTTGAACTCCTGTTGAAATTTGCTGTCTAGTTAATTAACATAAAGCTTGGCATAAGTAGTAATAGAGTAATGTGGGAGATGATTTTATATCATGGCAGGTAGATGGTATTTTCTGGCATTTTTCTGATTTTTTTTTTTCATCTCTTAAAGATGCAAAAATCAAGTGCCTGTATGGGAGACTGGAATTGTTATGGGCACTTGTGTATCTCCCTATTTAAAGGTGAATTTTGTTTGATCAAAGGTTGGATCTGATGATCTTGGGGGTCTTTTCCAACCTTAATGATTCTATGAATTGACCAGTTGTAAATCAAATGGTATTACCTGGTGGTTTTGAATATGAATGAAGGGTTTGCTATTGAAGCTGGGGGGGGAGGTAAGTAAATCTAACCAGAAGCAATTATCCAAGTTTAAGTAAACATTATTGATGCAGTTGTGAGCTGTAAATCTGCTTCTGTAATATTTTGACCAACTTCTAAAGCCTTTTTGCTTATGAAGTAAGTGTTTGAAATTCAGGCTCGCATCATAGGAAGGAATTCTCCTAACAATGAGAATATTACAGCAATAATATTGGTGGTGTTGAGAGTTTGAAATGGGTGGAAATATCTTCTTACCTGTTCATTTGAACATCTCTCACTGTATTTAGTATGTAACTCAGCACAACAGAGACCTCAGCCAACGAGCCAAACCCAAGTCGGACCCGGTTGTGTCTCCTTTCCACGAGCTTCAGCAGCTGGATCGGGAAAAAAAGGTTATCCACAGGATTAGCCCCCTTTCACCTGCTCATCAGCCTTGGCCTGAGGCATCAGGGAGAAATGAGCTGAGAGAAGTGAAGTCACCTGCAGAAACTGAGGCCACAGCAGCGAGAGCAGAGCCCAGAGAGGACAGACAGTGGAAGGAGATGAAGCTGCGGCTGGATGAGCTGCCAGGAATTTTGGCACGCTTGTCCAAAATCAAGCTCACAGGTATCACTGGTCTTTTTTTATCACTTCTGTGCATCCTGTGTGACAGCAGAGTTCTTTAGCACGTTACTGGTACAGTGGGGCTTTTCCTGTGGTAATTCCCACCTTCCTGATACAAAATTCCATCTAATGTGTGCTGGGAAAATGTGTTTTGTGGAAGCATTTGGTAGTTTTCCCATTAAATTTTAAAGATAGTGAGGAGGAGCTTGCATCCTGTGTCAGCTAGCTTTTGGGAGTCATAAACAAGCAGGTAGTGGTACAAAAACTACAGTGAAACTAGGTCAGGAAGTGAATTTACAAATATTGTATTCAGTGTTTAAAGTTGTCTTATTTAAGTTTACCAATATTCCGTCTTATTTACATACCTTTCACTTTAGTACTGCTTGTTGTGAAATGAGTATTAAAAGTCCCAACGAAAGATAATCCAAATAGTTTCCTGTGTTACAAAGAAAAACGTTTGAGTCTGACCAGTTGAATTTTATAAAACAAGATATAATTTACTTTTCAATCAGTACTAGTGTTGTCTCTTCCAACCAGCAGTTTGTTCAGTTGCTTTGCTGCCTTAACTACCTTTTGCCTTGTTCTGGTAGTAATATTTAACAACTATAAATTACTCCTTTGCCAATAGGTAGTGCTATATGTACTTTTATTTCTAAGGACACTCTGATGATCTGATCATCTTGTCTACATCAATTCAAGAGCACAAATGTAATTTCCTGAGTTCTTACCTTGGTGCTCTTTCCAGTGCGTGGAAGAAATTCCTGATAACAAGACTGTTCTTTGCCATAGCAATTTGTGAATTCAGTTCACTTTTTAAAACTTTTTGTCTTGCAGTGTGTAAGTTTTCATTGTTTGTTGCTCCGTGGAAAAATTGTGCTGACCACATGGAGTGTATAATGGTCGTTTACATTTTCATCTCAGCCTTGATGAGACATCTCATGGTTTGGACTTGGCACAACTGATCTCGTTTGTACATCTCAATTTTCTTCCTCATTGTTTTTAGAAAACCTCAGGGCATTTGTTTTGTGCTGGTAAAGAGTTTGATGAGATGAAAGCATGTCTTTGATAATTTAGCACGTCACTTTTATATATTAGCCTTGGTAAATTCAAATTTGGGTGTATAAAGCTCTCACTAGCACATTCAGCAGTTATCAGGGTTATTTGCAACAGCTTTGTGGCACATCCAGCCTCACTTATTGCCTCATCTTTCTTTCTACATTATACAGGGCTTGCCTTTTTCTCCCCCACACTGTTCAGTTTTAGTAATACTTTGTTTCTGTAGGGCTCACCATGGATAACTGTAAGTGCTGTATGAACAATTAGCTCTTCTGGCATATTTTCAGTGAGGTGATTTTATTTAAGTGGTTCTTACGTGAACTTGAAGGCTGTGCCAGCTACTGGGGTAGAACTAAATTAAAAATTCTCACTAGATCCAGAAATGAAAAGTTAAAATGCCACGATTAAGGGACCAGAGAGACAGAAAATGAACTATCGTTTTAAGCACTTGATGTGTTTGTTCTTATGTTTGCTGACATTCCTGACAGGAATGCTCAGTGTGACCACATCCTAATGTTGCTGGTGCTCCTCAAAACAGGAGTTTGAACAACTGCAGCAAGATGCCAGGATGTATTTACTGGGAGAAAGTAATTTCATGTGATGCTTTTTTGTGTGGCCTCAGCGTTGCTGCAGAACTCTTCAGCAGTTTCCAGTAGGCTCTATTAAATGCAAAAAGCAATTTTGACAGGCAAGCACCTCTCTGGATTTAAAATAGGCTGTAGGAGGCAAAGGTTAATGAATTTCATTCCCTTCAGGACTGTTGTTTTGAGATGTAAACTTAACTGCTCGTTTCTGAACAGCTGTAGAATTTTTAATCTGACTTCCAAGGCTGCAGGGGAAGGGGCTGTGTCTTTAGCCTCTCTCTGCTGGCACTGGAAGAGTTCTTGAGCCAGGGTAAGTGTGGTGAACAGGTATAGAGAGATACAGGTATAGAGAGATACAGAAAAAAACTCAACCTCTTTTCTCATTTTGATCTCTGTGTATTTGGTGTGGAGATTTTTTTGGATGTGGGAAGTGTAAAAGAATAAGTTGGATGAAGAGGGGTTTGTAGGAGGGGAGTTCATTTGATGGTCTTTATTGATCGTGGGGTAGCACAGGAAAGGAGCAGGAATAATACTGGGTGTAGTGTAGCAAGGAAACAGGATTAGCTTTTCTTCCAACATTTAGACAAATTATATATTCTGTAAAGAATATGGTGGAGTCATTCTTTGATTGTATTTTTTTTAAACAAGAATAAATTCTCTGAGGTCAGCTTTTAACTTACAAATGACACACAACTGAGTTCCTTTCACCCATGAAGTTCTGATAGATCTCATATCCTGTGTGGTTTTTTTGGCAGACTCTTTATTTATACTTTTTGGAGTATGAAATAACAAAAAAACAAACTCTGCATTATGCTAAAATGGGACTTCCTTATGCCCTGTTCTTTTCCCGCTGCTGAAGGAAGGGGATTGTTTGTTTGTATTCTGAACTGTACTTCACCTTTGAAAGGAAATGAGTTTAGCTATTTCCATACCCTCCTGCTTCATGTAAACTGCAGCTCTTGTGACTCTGCCATTAGAAGCTCTGCCTTAAAAACAGGAGTAGATTTTTGTTTATATTCTTTTGCCATAGAAAACAATTAGGGAACTTCTAATTACCTGTCGCATAATCTGCCTTTTTGGGTTCAGTTTCCATCCATTCCTCTCTCTGTGGTGTTCTGTGTTGGCTGCTCTCTCAACAGCTGTATCCTACCATCCAGGCACTTGGAAAGCTAATGCATCTGTCTGATAGGTTTTCAGAATTATAAATGTCATTGTTTTCAACTTGATCCTAAAGTTTATGTGTTATGTAACCTAAAATAGGAGAGAGACACAAGGTATGGGAATAGGAGGAAATTCTAGTGATTTATAATGCACACACATGAAGAATTTCAGGTTGTCTCATCTTCTTTACTTAAATCTAATCTTGAAGTTGATGTTTCCTCTAGGGATTACAGATACGAAACTCAGATGAGCTGTATGCAAAACCACAGGAAAATCCAAGCTCAGTTTTTAATTTGGGGGAACTGTTATGAAGGCGTGGTATGAAAAATGCTGAGTGTTCCAGGTTGCCCAGGGAAACTGTGGCTGCCCCATCCCTGGAAGTGTCCAAGGCCAGGTTGGACAGGGCTTGGAGCAACCTGGGCTGGTGGAAGGTGTCCCTGCCCATGGCAGGGGGTGGAACTGGATGGGCTTGAAGGTCCCTTCCAACCCAAATCACTCCATGTTTGTGTGATGTACAGCACCTGGTGTGTTCAGGGAAAGACTGGACATGGCACTCAGTGCTCTGGTCTGGTTAACAAGGTGTTGTTCAGTCAAAGGTTGGGCCTGATGGTCTCAGAGATCTTTTCCAACCTGATTGAATCTGTGATTCTGTAGCACCTATCTGAGAAGTGAATCAACATGGGTGGACAAATATGATCATTTATGAGCATCTTCAGTTTTGGAAACTGAACTAGAGCATTTTTTTTTTTATGTGTCCTCTTATAAGAAAATAACCCTGTCTCTTCTACTAGAAAACAGCTGGAATTAATTGGCTGTATTGCTTCTGTCTGGATTTGTGTCTGTGCAATAGTGATGCTTTAGCACAAAAGTGCTGAACTGGAAATCAGAAGCCTGAGATATTTGATACTGTTTTAAGATGTGATTGTGCACATCCTACTTCTTCTCTTGGCTGTTGTGTCTTGGTGACACAGTGACAGAGATCCAGCTTTGCATAGCCTTGAGTGTTACCAAACAACAAATAAGGGGCCTGTGTTGTGTTTATAGGTTAAAACTCTGGTAACTTTTTTTTTTTTTTCACTCTAGTGAAAAATCCATTTGCTTTAGTGGAGTTTCCAGTATGTTCCCACTTTATTCTGGAATAATAGCATTTATTATGGCATTTATTCTTCAAATGGTAACTTCAGTATAACCAGAAACTTTGACAAAGATATATTGGTAGATATTGTTCCAACTATTACTAGTGCACGTTTATTCTCAGTTCTAAATATATTTCATATACTTGTCAAAGTAGTTCTCATTTTGTGATTAATATGCCAGTCACTATTATCCCATCAAAGAAACAAAAGCTGAGTAGTGGTAGCTGTCTGGCAATTTATTTTCCACGCTACCAGAAAAACTAATGAAATAAAAATAAACCCTTATTACGGTTTATTTTTAGCAGATCAATTTAAAATTGTTGGATGGATGTTTGTGATACTGCCCTTGAATTTTATATGATATAATGCAAAGGTTATGTGCAGGTTGTAATGTGCATCAAAGCTTTGGTATGCCCTAACAAACCTGAGTTTATAAAGGACACGTTGGTCAGGTGTGTAGCACAAATACTGGTGCTACACTTGGCTTTCCAGAAACCAAAGTGTGAAAACTCTGGAAGGAAAATTCCATCATTTTGGAAAGCTACTTTCCTTCAAGGACTGTATAAACACTTGCAGTAAAGGAGTGAAATTGTTTCCTAAATTAAAGTAGAAATGCATTTGCTTTTGTCCTTCCGTGTGTGCTGATATATCACCAGTACAGGAGTAGAAGGGAATTCTAAAGCAGAATTGATTTGCTTTGGCTTTCTATGGTTTTATTTTGGCTTGGCTGCTTTTTAATAGGAGGTAGGCAAAATATGGCAAAGTGATTCACGTGCTATAAATACAAATACAGGGGTTTATACAGGCAGATCACATTGTGATGGAGTGGAAAAGGAATGTAAAGAACACACTAGGCTTTTTGACTGTATTTTTATGCTAGAAACATTATAATTCACTCTTTGTCACCAATCCATTAGCATTTTCTCTTTCATTTACATTGAAACGGGAGACAAATGTCCCCTGTTCATTTTTGTTAAAGCTGAAAATGTTTAAAGGGCTGAAAATTAGGTTTAGGCTGAGATCATAAGTTTAAGTCTTGGCTTCTTTTTGAAGAGTGAATATAATGCCAACTCTCATCAAGCCTTGAAAGGATCGATTCCATCTATTATGCAATAAGGTGAAGTTAATTTGGCCCCTAAAGCACTAAACTAACAGGGATTAAAAAACAAACAGAGTCAATGACCTCATTCCCTTGATGTGATCTCAATTAAATATACTTTTCCTCCACGAGGGAAGTTGAAGAGTAAATTATTGCTTCCACAGTTAAAGAAAATAAACTTCCCAATCCAAAGGGAGCCTTTTCCTATTTACTGCTGATGTGTTGCATTGGAATATCTGGGCAGTGAGGGAAGCAGGGAATGCCTGGTGTGCAAACCCTGCCCAGACAACAGAAAATACCTGCTTTAATGGGATAGGGGAGAGGATGTGCTGCAACCTTTCTAAATGAGCTCCTGATAAGTCAAACTGAAATGACTGGCTGAAATTAATCTGGAGAAATCAATGGGGACTTTAATTAGTGCTGTGGCTGTACAGTATTCGAATTTCTTTGGGGTCAGGGTAGTGCTAATGTTACACTGACTGTTTGCCAATCCGCTCCACCTTTCTTCTCCAGTAAATGAGCTGGTGTTTTCCCATAATAAATTGGTGTAAAGTGCTCTCTAAGATAAGTTTTAATTAAATTCTTGTCTGGAAATGAGTGTGTGATTTATTATGCAAAAAAACCCGAATGTAATCACTCTTGGAAATGCAAACGCCACCGTTCACTGTCATTTTCAGTGTGTTTTTTAACTCCTCTGTTGTACCAATGCATTTCGTGTTCTCCTGTGCACTCTGCTAAGAAGTTTGGAAGCTAAGGTGGTGTGGTATTTATATAATAAATGGGTCCAGTCTTTCAGAACAACCTTCATGTCTGTTTGTCTGGTGGGCCAGCAGAACCTGTGGTTATTTCCGAGCTGCTCAGAGGGTAAAGCTCTGTCACAGATCCTCTGCATTTTAGAAGTAGCCTGGGACTCCATAACAAGGCTAGAGAATTAATGCTTATAATTATATTATGTATATTCTTATAATAATATTCAGTCACCAAGGGATTTTAATGCTTAGAGAAAAGTTTTGATGAGCAGCAAGTTTTCTTCCCTGTGTTTTTAGTATTAAATCCTAAGGTTCTTATGCAGGCACAGCTCTTAAAATGAGCACTTTGCATCCTTGCTGGCAGGTCACTGCCATGACATTTAGTTTTTCATCTCAAGTAACACTGCTTAATAGATAATCCAGGTATTTTCAGTCAGCAAAGGTTATTTATTTGTATTTAACTTCAGACAGATGGTAGACTTTGGAGGACTCAGGAAGATGAGAACATTTTGATGCTTTGATTTGAGCTGGCTGAGTTCTGGAACATGCAGTTACATGCAGAATATAATTTAAATACTTTCTCTTTAATAGCTATTAATTTCAGATTGTAAGGCTCAAGGTCATGAGGAAGATATTCCATAAGTGTGCTGACTTTTATAGTATAAGGAATTTGCCATGTCATATTATTTCTTGCCAAAAGTGAAGTTTGTGAGACCTGTTATTTGGCAAATTACAATATTAGGATTGAGAGTTAGGTAACTTTCATTTTAGGGATGTAATTTGCAGTACTGTACTAAAGTTATAATTTTGGATGACAAAACTGAAATGGATTTTTGTGAATGCACTCAAATTTTGAGGCCTTTAAGTGCCATTGAGTCCATGAGATGTGATTGTACCTTCAGCCCAAAGTGGGCAAGTCAAGTGGGAGCAGAGATGGTGCAGTGAAATTACTGTAGCTACGTGCCCTGAGTCTCCTTTTAGCTCTGCACTGCTTAAATCCCTGCTATAATTTGATATAAAGCATATATCTCATTTGGGGATTTTTCTTACTGTTTTTCTTCCCCATTAGGCTTTGCAGTGATGTGTGAGTTACTGGAACAAATCATGTTGAGTGGGGCAGTTTGGTCCTGGGGCAAATCCATAAAACAGGGAATGAAGAAACATAGATGAGGCTCATCTGACACTTGTCTGTTTGGTTACCCTCACCTTTCCCTGTTTTCAGCTGACACTTTGCAAAGGTTAAGGACTCATCCCACAGGTGTTGCTGTTTAAGTTCTTTTCTCTCTCTTTTTCCACCTTTTCTTTACCTACCAAACCTCAGATTTCAGGACATCCTTTTATTATTCAAAAAAATTGATAAGTAACTAAGGTTGAGACTGAAAATAATACATAATCTGGAGGGCAATCAACTGCCAGGAGCTCAGGTGTTGAACAAAGTGTATTTTCTGGTGGGTTCCCTGGTGGGCTTGATTGCCCAGCCAGCAAAGCTCAGCCTACTCAGATTGAAAAACTTGATTTCATCAGGATAGCACATCCTGTGGAATGTTTACTGAGAACATTCTGTGAAGCTTTTTTGTTCTCACCTCTTCTACTAATGCGCTGATGTTTCTGGGTTTCTTGTTTCATCCCTGACAGTTCTTCTGAGTTTTGACTTCTCTATGTGGAGTATTAATATTAATTGTACTCAGTTCCTGGAGCTACTGTGAGCCATAAAAGTGGCAAAACCTTAATCTGCACATGGGTTCCTAAAGTTTGAAAGCCTTATTTATAGTGTTGTGCACAAAGGAGGTGGTTTCTGGTGTTCTCTGACCTGTGCTCTCGCTGTGTTGCAGCTCTGGTCGTCAGCACCGCGTCCGCCGGCTTTGCCATGGCCCCGGTCCCTTTTGACCTGCCCTGTTTCCTGCTGGCCTCCCTTGGAACTGGCCTGGCATCCTGTGCTGCCAACTCCATCAACCAGGTCAGTCCATCCTCATCTGTACAGCAAGCTGGTGTCGTCCTGGCTCCTGAAACGCTGCCAGGGAGTGTGACTGGGTGGCTGGGAGGGCTGTACCTTCAGCTGCCGTGTGAGCTCGGGGCTGCTAAAGCTGACACCACAAAAGGAGTGTGTGCCTGGGAATTCGAGGGGAGTTGCTAGGCACGGTGTGTTTATACAGAATGGAGTTGATGAGGTTTTAAGCCTCCCAATAATAATGTTTATCTTGGTAATACCGAGCCTGGATCATTGAAAATGACAGAGGAAGAACTGGGTAATTGGAGTGTAAGAACAGCCAGCGGGGCTCCAGCCTCACGGGCCTGGTGCTTTGGATGTGTTGTTGCATGACCTTGTTGGATCTGTGTAAAGAGTGGCTCAGAGCACCTCTCTAAATGTCAGTAGTGGGACTTTGGTGGGGTTTTGCCCAGGCTGGAGTCAGGGTATCTCCTGCACATCTGCAGAATGTACTGAAAATCTCCGTTGTGGGAGGTTGTTCCATGACAATGTTCCGGGTGCCTGAACTTCCCTGCATGTGTCAACATGCCTGTGGAGCTTGGTGCTGATCTCAGCTCTCCTGCACTCCAGCTGTGAAGCAAAGTTGCTGTTGGGCTCTTCCTGCATCCCAAAGGAAAGCTCAACCAGTGAAGAGGTACCAACACTTGTGTTGAACAGAGTTACAAAGCACAGTAGCCACAGTCGCTCTCAGTTGTATAAGTATGGCCTGGAAAAAGAAGCAGCAGTAGCAGCAATGGGACTTCATGTTTTCAGCAATCACTTGTGAGTCCTGAGACCCCAGTAATGGAAGTTTCCTGGTTGACTCACCTTGGTTGATTTGGGCTCTGAGGTTTACACCTTGGAACACCTCAGTTGTAGGCACTCAGTGTGATTTTTGGGCTTGCACCCATCAACACACTCCTTGTTCAGCCTGAAGTAAGTCCTGTTTGTTGTTTTTACAGGTTTTACTGTTTGTTTTCACTGAGCTTAAAACTGGGGCAGGCAGCTAACTTTGTGTCTGTTTTCTCTGCAAAATTGGAAGGATGCTGCATGGTTTTTACTTGCTTGGAAATATTTATGTAGCCTGCCTAACTTGAAAACACCTAGGTAGCCTTAAAAAATAATTTTAAGTAAGTCACACTATTTTCTGAGGAATACATTTGGTTTTCATTACATATTTTTCACACAAAGGCTGGGTAGAAAAGCTGTCATAAATAAGGTGAAGCTTTCTTGGGTTTTGATACACTTTTAGAGGTGTGCTTTTTACCTCCCTTTTTTGCTTTACTGCTTTTTTAATATTAAAAAACCCATTTGTGAGTTATCCTTTGAAATATTTACTGTCACACTTACTTCACCTTTGATATGCATACTACTGGACTGAGAGAATCAGTTATTGCTTATTTAGATTTTCCTGTGCAACTTCTCCTGAGATTTTGATAGGTTTTCCTAGAGGTGCCATTCACAAACAAATAACTGGTTTTCTTTGTTTCAGCATCCACGTGTTGCTCAGTATATTTTGTCCCAAAAGTTGCAATTTTTTAAACTCCTTCAAGCCACTTTTTAAGATATTGAATTACTTGGGAGGACCAGGAATCCTGTGGTGTAATTTGCAGCTGGACACTTCTGAGCCTTGTTGGGATAGGAAGGGGAAGTCAGGAGTGCAGTAACTTTGTGCTTGGGCTCGTAATTCACTAATTATTCACTACAAGTTCCTCCAGCCTCACAAAGCGTCTTTCTCAGTCTCAGCTGAACACTTTGAATTTGCACATTTGCTCATGTTGAGCCACTGTGCCTGTGTAGAGAGACCTTCAAGGCAACTGCTCCAAGTAAAGAAAATAAAGGAGCAGAGTTGGTAACGAAGCAGAAGGAAGGAGCTCTGCTCTATGACCTTGTTTATCAATGGGTCCTTTCAGTCCCTGAGTGTCCCTTTGCCGGTGTTGCCGTGTCTGAACCGGCTGGGAATTTAATTTTCCATAAATACTTTAAGCTGGGGTATCCGTCTCGACCTTTGGGAAGGAGCACATTTGACTTGGAACTTCCTTTATTGCTACTTTGCTCTGTCCATTGCTCCCCATACGCATCCCCTTGTCTGGCAGCTCATGACTCATGTTTCCCTCGGTGCTCCTTGCCATCCCTTAAGGACCTTTTTATATGATAACCGTCTTCCCACTTCCCCCATTGCCATAAATCTGTACATCTTTAAGGGCAGCTCATCTTTCCCACTCCTCGTTTCCCTGATAAATCTGTGTGCACGATTTACAGTCCCCAAATATGTCGTGGGAAGGTGAAGTGTCGATTGTGTAAGATTCTTGCCCGTGATTTAGGACAGGATGTGAGGAGCCTGGTCCTGTGAAAATGTAATAACGATTCTGTAACACTCGTGGAAGTATTGATACAGACTTTTAACTGTTCAAATTCTGTGATTTGGGCTTTTTTTTTATCCTTTTTTCCTTCTCTCAGTCACTTGAGTTTAGCAATCTGGTAGGAGCTGAGAGGGTTTTATCCCGAGTGAATTAAGCTGAATTAACTATTTAAGTTGACTTAATTAATGAGAGTGAGCCAGGCCTGTGCTAAGTAATGCACAGAGACCAAAGCATTGGGTTGGTTTTTTTTCTTTTATAAAATTCATCTGAAATAATCTCCGAATTATCACTTTCTCCTTGATTTCAGATGGTTGTATGTCATACTTTAAACCTATTTTTTCCTGACTGCAAGAGCCAGAAAGTTACAAAAACGTGCCCAAGTGGAGGTTCTTGCCCCACTTTCAATGTCTTTAACAAGAAAGCAATAAAAAAACCTGAGGTAAACTGACAACTTTGTATTTTTTAATTGTTTATGGAAGTACAGTCTGGATATTTATCAGCCAAAGGTGTGTGTTTACAAACAAGTTTCACAACCCACAAATTCTAAATTTGCAAATAGAAGGAGTGTATTTTCATGGCGATTCTGTAAAATTGGATAATGATTTTTAAGAAGCTGGTGACTTACTGTTTTGTGACTTGAGAGTGAAAAGGTTGTGTTGGAAAATACCCTGGAAAATACGGGCAAGAGGGGAAACAAAGGGGAAACGTGGTGCCCGTTGTACAGCAAGGTCCTCCTAGAAACATGGGTGTAGAAAACGTCAAGACAAGAATCTCGGAATAATTGATGTCAGACAGTAGTTTGAGAGGAGCAGACTCTCCCGGGCTGGTGGGAGATGTTGTGAATTCTGGGGATGTGGCTGAATGTCGGCGGGTTTCCCTGCGGAGCGCGCTGGGCCCGCGGGCTGCGAGGGAGGAAACTCCCGCGGGAAGGTGCCGGGGAACAGATAGGGTTTTATTTGCCTTGTCCTCCGGCAGCAGTTGTGCCTCTGCCTCACCCCTGGCTATCACAATACTTCAGGGCTGTAGCTCACACCTCATCCAGCATCGCCGTGGCTCCCACAGCCGGTGCTCCCTGGTTCTCTTCCACATCACCCGACACCGCGTTATGTCCTCCGGCCCTTCGGAATTGTACTACAACATGTCACCACTTCTCAGTCCCACCTGCTAAAACTTCTTGCCTCTTTTTTTTTTTTTTTTCCTTTTCTTCCCTCTTTTTCTAATGGCATTCTTTCTTTTTTTTTTTTTTTTTTTTTTTCCATCCTTGAAGTAACTTAAAATTATTCCGGACAGGTGTTTTTTATTGGTGTTCTGCCTTTTGAAAATAACCAATATTTTACAGTGGGGTTTAATTAAAAAAAAAAAAAAGGGCACTTAATGCATTTACCAAGGAATAGGTTGAGACACATTTTGTCTGTACCATTCCTAAGCTAGCCAAAACCTCCAGAAAATCTCATTAGAAGGGCTCAGCCTTATTAATTGCAGTTGTGGTAAGGAAATAGAAATATGTTCTGGGGTTTCATCTTATAAACACTGCACGATAAGTTTTAATACAACAAACAATTATTCCTAGTCTATCACTTTTATACTGTCTGTATTCCTAACTCTTTCAGGGTTGTGTATTGGTATGGATACACAATAAGTGTTGTTCCTTACAAGTCACAAAACAGAATAACCAAAACTTGGTTTTCTAATTGGGGAAGACCAATTTTGTAACTTGTTTTTTCCCCTGCTCCAGGCTGTCATAGAAATAGAGCGGGAGAAAATTATATTACGTTAGTTGATAATCTTTTGCTTTTTCGTAGCTCTGGTTTTTGATGATCTTTGAAAGCTGACTCAAGTTTCAAGGAGTGGAACCTTACATTTATATTAGGGAGAAAACATGTCATTTTTGAAACTTCTAAGATAGTCAGCTCTGATTTATGGAGAAGGAGATAAAACATGAAGAGATGTTTACAACACAATACACGGCATTAAAATGTTAAAGGAATCACATGCACGTTTTATATGTCAAGTACATTCCTCTGTAACTGCAGCATGGTTAAAAAGTGGGAGAGAGCTCCAAAGATGAAAGCAGGATGTTTAAAATGGTTTGAATTTAGTAACCGAGAGATAAAATGATGTGCTTGAGTTTGACTGATGGTACCTTGAAAAGGAAACAGGCTGGGCCGAGTGTCTTAGCTGAAGTCAGAGAGCTGAAAATGAGGAGTACAGTAAATATGTGAGGCAGCATGAGGGAACAAATGTAAGTTAACATCCCTGTCCCTTCGGGGTCTGAGCTGATGGCTGCGTTTTGCTCTTAATGTCATCCTGTCTTGACAGGGGTGATCCCTTAGAAGTGTGGCTGTAATGGGTGGGAGGGATGGGTTTGGTGTTAAAATAATGGAGTGAAATTCAGGGTCTGAGTTCAGTTGCCAGCCCATGGACCCTGTGTGTGATCTTTGATATTAAGACAAACTGTGAAGGTCATTTGGATGCTGCAGTGATGGGCACTGGGCTGAATGAAGTCAAAATAGAGCAGCCTTTTCTCCAGTTTTTAATCCACTCACTGGATTATCCTCATTGAAAAAAAATTCTTCATTATATCTTGTCTAAATCTCTCATCTTTGACTTTAAAACCATCAGCCCTTG